GAAGCTTTCTTGCTCATTTTCTGGATGCATGATGAAGAGTTAATAAATAATGCATGTAGGTGGCTGCAATGATGAAGAGTTAGAGCTGGAAATGAAAGGGAAAGCTGGAAAGGGGAATGAATGCCACGGCATGGAGTGAATGGTGCTGTTTTGCATGTGAAGTGTGGAGATGTTTTGCACGGCAAAGGGTGGAATATGTGGCTGCATGTTTGAATGATTAAAGGGACATGTGGGGTGGCTAGAACAAAGGGGAAAGCACATGGAAATGCTGGAAATCTGATGGTAGTAATGCACGGCAAGGTGGAGTGGTTTTGGAAGAAAGGTGGATGAATGTGCATGTGGATTAGGTTGGAAAAGCATGTGAATGCATGTGTTGATTTAAAGAATAGGTATGCATGTGAATTAGGTTGGAAAGAGGTGGAAATGGAATGTTATGCAATGATAATGTCTTGTGGCTGAATTGGTGGAGTAATTATGATGGGAGGCACGGCATAGTTGGATTTGTGGTGGGTTGATGAAAGAATAATTGCATGTGGCTGAATTGAATGAATGCAAAGTGAATGAATAATGAAATGGGAAAGCATGACCAAGGTGGAAATGCATGTGAAATGTTGGAAAGGAATTGGGAATGTGAGTAGGCCACGGCATGGAGTGTTTTCTTGATGGTTTTGGGGTTGTGATGCATGTGAATGCATGTGAATGATAGCTAGGGTGTGTGATGATGAGTGTATGTTGAGTAAAGAATGAATGGTGGCTGAATTGAAGGAGTGGGAAGCTGGAAAGTTGAAGTGCAATGCACGGCAAAGGGGGGAGAAATGATGGCAGGTTGTGAATGTGATTGATTTAGGGTGAATGTGCATGTGTTTTAGGTTGTGAAAGCATGTGGATTAGGTGGAAAGAGGTGGGTGTGCATGTGAGTTGAAATGCATATGTTTAAATGGTTGAAATGTGTAGATGATTATGAGTATGATAAGTGATAAATGTATGGTTATGATAAGTGATAAGTGAATGATATGTTAAGTGATAAATGAATGATATGTTAAGTGATAAATGAATGATATGTGGTGAGTGATAAGTGAATGGAAGTGATAAGTGATAAGTGAATGGAAGTGATAAGTGAATGGTTTGATCTTCAATTTCGTCCATCTACTTGGCTTCATGGATAAGCTATCCAATCCATGCACAAAAATGCTCCAAATAGCCTCAAAATGCACTTTCTTGCTCCCTAAGCCCTTAGAACCTGAAAACACACAAAAGAAGCATAAAGGACTAAAATAACTAGAGAAACATAACGTAAACGTACGAGAACAAGCCATTTAAGTCGCATGAATATGCTCCTATCAAACTCCCCCACACTTATCTTTTGCTAGTCCTCGAGCAAAACAGAAAAACAAAACAAAACGAAACGAAACGAAACAAAACAAACCAAAGACAATCTTAAACCTTCCAATGTTTGCCTCAGGGATTTCCAAATCACATGACATGTTAAAAATCATCATTCCCACAGATTTTATTCATCTTCACACTTAAGTACATTCTTAATCATAGTCACCACATACTATTTCACAATTAAGCATTTAAAACCATGTTTTGAATGTAGTAACATGCCTTAGAGAATTTGCTCAATTCCTTACAAGATATGCACTCAATTTTAACTCAGATTTTCTAACTACACACCCTAATCTAGTCATATATGAGAAGATTGATGTAAACATGAAAACGAACACTCACATATATGTATCACAAAGAACGCAATTTCTGGACTTAATAATCAAGTTTAGATATGATCTCATGAATGGAATGCTACTACTTAGACGCGAGAACCAGTGACACCATATGCTCATACCAAGTTCAAACTCCACAAATTGAAACACATAACACTCAAGATTGAAGTCACAGGTTGTAATGGGGCTTGGGGCGTATGGATAACAAAGAAGGGATATGGAAAACAAAGGTTCTTAAAGAAATAGTGAGCAAAGCACTTGAATCAACTTAGAATTCATTTTTGAATGAAAACTCAACTTTTGAACAAAAAGGGAGAATTTAGACAATTTACGGCCAGAATTGGTGTTTTGGACCCTTTCTTCAATCACTCATTCTTTCATTTTTTTCAAGTTTTTTTTTTTTTCCCTTTCTTTCTTTCTTTTCTTTTTTTTTTTTTCTTTTCTTTTGAATCTCAAAACATACATAAACACTTAAACATTCTCTCCCCCACACTCATTTTCTTTCATAATGTAACTCAAAAGGAATTCAATTAAGTCATACTCACTATCTTTTAAGAACAAGGGTGGGGATTGTCCTAAACTAGGCTAGGTGAAGAAAATGTGGGTAAACAAAGAATAAAGGCTAAACAAGGCTCAACGGGGTTAAAACTTACAACATATACGAAATATGGGAAGTAAGGCTATTTGGCTATGGTGGTGATCACTACACAACTTCTTCTTGAATATGTAAAGATTTTTAGAGATCTAGTTTCAGAACAATCAATGGAACTAAATGGAAAGAAGGATTTCGGACCACTCGACAGAACTCCACTCAAGAATGTGTATGGCTCCCCAATGCGGAATAACCACGCATGACCACCTATAGATATAATGTGACCAAGAAGGCAGTAACCCTCCAATGCGGATTAACCAGGCGGAGCCACCCCTCAAATGCGTATAGTTCCCTAATGCGAATTAAATAGGTGAAGTCACCCCTCAAATGTGTATGGTTCCCCAATGCGGATAACTATATGGAACCACCTATTAAAGTAAACCGAGTAGGTAGTAAACCCCCCCCCCCCAAATGTGGATTAACCAGGCAAAGTCACCCTTAAGGTGTGCATGATCCTCCGATGCAGATTAACCAGGCGAGACCACCTTTAGGGTGCGCATACTCCCCCAACGTTAACTAGGCGGGACCATGGACATGCCTCCAATAGTTGGTTCCCCGATACATATTAACCAAGCAAAGTCACCTATGGGAATAGTGTAACCTTCTAGAATCAATTGCAGCTACTTCAAAAAAACTGCCTATTATGGCTATGTAAAGGGACCGGCTTCCCAGAAAGGTTAATGCCCTAGGATTGGATTCATCCCCATATGGAACTGGGTGAGGGATTCCCTGAAACCAAAGCAAGGAGTGACTCCCCAATGCGGATTAACTAGGTAGAGTTACCCCTAGAATGCGTATGGTGCCCCAACATGAATTAACCAGGCGGGACCATCCATGTATCACTGCAACATGGTGCAGTCACGTCATCACACATCAAGTCGACATGAATTATTATTATTAGCATACACATTATCAATTCCACAACACAAATGAATATCTACTCACACATACATACAAGTTCTATGAAATAATTCTAACATAGTTCTAGCTCATATTCTCTTACTAGCAATCACACATATCATTTATATCTTCTAGTAGTTCAATAATCACATAAATTTTGATAAGGTACCACTTACACGTAACCCGAGATATAAATCAACAGGTATAGCTCACTGGCCAAGATGGGCCCACTAGGCTTTACCTAGCTTCTAGTAATACTAATTTTTGTATTAAAGAACAGTTCAGGACATGTTGACCAAAAATCAACCATCGGTCAACAGAACGATCAACAACCTTAGTAATCCAATATGGTAAATCCGCCCACCAGATCTTTGATCCATAACTTTCTAAGAGTCTCAATGTACTTCTAGGACAACATATTAAAAATTTGTGACGATCTGAAGGTTGGATTTTTCATCAATCGCAAGTTTAAGTGGTTATCAACAATTGGTCCTACAAATTTAGAAATCCAATCCCGGAAGACCTGTACGTCAGATTCCCAATCCATAAGTTTCTAATATTCTCAAATATTACACCCAACTACATATTATAATTTCATAATGATCTAATGGTCGGATTAATGTCAACCACAAATGTTAATAATCTAAGATTCTTCAATCCAAAAGATCTGTATATCAAATTTCCAATCCATAAATTTCTAAGTCCTCAAATACAATAACATATTAAAGTATCATAGCGATCCAACAGTCAGATCAAAGTCAATTTTGAAAATCAAACGATGGTTCAACTTTTTATAAATCAAATTATCGAACCATCGTATAGTGTTTCAATAAACGGACCTTGGAACTAAACGCAAGACATTGAAGATGTCTTGCTATCCCAAATGCCAAAGTCCCTATGCACCGTCATGGATGGTGATTTCAGTAAATGTGAACTCCGTTCTCCTACCAACTACGATTTTTACCAAATTTTACAAGCAAATAGAACTCAAGTATAAGGAATGATTTTCATACCTGTGACAAAGTCTAATAGGGACGGAAGACAGCGTAAATTGTTGAGAAAACGGCGGATGGCTGGAGGGATCGCGGCGCCACTTTGCCGCCACCTTTGCACCATCAAACCATTGGGGCCCACAAATCACCTCCTAGAGTCATGGGCTTTCGACTGGATATGGTGGTTGACATCCGATGAACTCGTCATGTCGTGAACGACGACCAACAAATGGAAACACTAGGTGGGAAATGATCCTAGAATGGTGGTGAGCCGTTTCCAGAAGGTGGCGTTAAGTGAATCGATCGGGAAACACCAGAATCAACGATTCCAAAAACAGGTAAAAAGGAGAAGGGTTCTTTTTTTGGGCCAGGGGGGGAGGGCGAGCCAATCCCAACCCCCTCTCGGTCCACATATGTTCCTCAACAGATCATTTCCCTTGTTTTCTTGGAGCCTTCCAGAAGCATAGGGTCCAAAAGAACATTTCACCCTTGCCTTTCCTCGCTTACTTCTCCTTCGTTACTACTCCGATTTGTAAACGGTTTTTGCCTAGGCATTCTTGGAATCTACCCAAAATACTATGACTAACCCAAAAGGTCTATGGATTTTTAATGACTCGTTATAAAAATTCAAACTTTGTAACTAAGTAACGAATCTAAAATTAACAAAAATAAGATAAATTCGCATAGATATAAAATATGTAAAATTAAATAGTGAAATCTAAAGACGGGATTTCACAACTAAATTACTTTTCGTCGAATTAAGATTTAACCTAATTAATGGTACATTTAGAACAATTTCTATGTTCCATCCACCTAACAAGGCAGCCCCTTTACTTTACCATTTCATCGCAACTTATACACATAAGATAACAAGCAAAACTAATTCAATCAACAATAACATTAGAGCTTGTTCGTTAATTTCCTAGTCGAAAGCATCAAAATGAAGCTTCCAACATGATTCTACTCCTAATCGAAGTTCTTGCCTTCGTAGGTCTGACCAAACTGCCAATTCTTAGGGGCAATATTCACTGAAGTAATGGTTCTTCCATCACTCTCACCTACCCTAAATGTCAATGATTCCCCAACAAGCTTAGCATCGGTGGTCCACCTCTGACCCCACATTCGCTTCAACGGCGTCCATGGAAGCTTGCCGTCACCTTTCACTTCGACACTTGTTACATCCCCAGAGCCTCCAACATTCCAAACCATCACTTCATTGAAATAAGGATTCCCTGTTATTGTGAACCGAATGCCTCCTATTTTTTTGCATGGTACTCTTCGATATTCAACTGGGACAATGCCAGCCTTGTACTCAGCAATCTGGAGGAAGATGGGCTTGGCTATATCGAAATGCTCACGTGGCGAATTGCACCATCCTCCATTGTCACTTGGGAGGTTGTAGTTTGGAGGGCAGTGGTTTGTTGCTGTAACTGACACAACTGGCTGCCCGGGCTTGCACCATTGGGGTGAGTCTACACATCTGATTTCGAAGCATGCACCACACGACTGCCCTTTGTTGAACAGTGCATCGCTTAGTGCTACAGTTTTGAGGCCATAACCTTCCTTAACAACATCATGGTAACCACAAGCTCCACCTAGTTGGTTCAAAAAATTTCATGAATTAATTAGTGCTGTTTTTTTATTAGAAGAGCGCCAAAATTTCTATAAAAAAAAAAAAATGCAAGTGTTTCATTGAAAAGCACGTTTTGTTCTTATAAGAAGAGCTTTTAGATGTCCAAAAATATTGCTAAGCATTCCAAAACATTATCAAACATTCCCTCACGGCTAACAGAGAAAAATCTTTGGGCAAGCACTTTCCATATAAATTTGCTACATCATGTGAGCAATAGATTCCCTTGTAAGAAATTAGATGGGTTAGAGGATGGTTCAAAATACATTGGGAATGGGTGGTTTATTAAGCAGTATGATGTCGTTCTTGTCATCCTCTTTCTCAACTCAACCCCATGCCCAGTATTATCACTTAGATTCAAATAAAAATCCCTTTAAGAAAAAAGAAAAAGCAAAAGTAATACTATTAAGAGGCTTCAAAGAATTAAAAAAAAAATAAAGCAAAAATAAAAAAATAAAACCAGCTCTCTCGCCTACTTCCTCTCTCTCTGTCCTTCTTCTGATCCCCTGAGTCCCTCAAAACTCATAGTGACGCGAGTTAACTGCATAACTTAGTGAAGGAAATAAGGAAAGATTCTGGTTGAGATACTAAAACCTTGAAAAGTCTTTAGAAATCAAAAGAATCACTCCTTTTTTTTTTATTTGTAGAAAAAATGTTAGGCAAGCCGGGGACCATTATGGTCCCTTCATGGCTCCGCCCTTGTTGATAGGGTTCATACCAAAGGTTCCGGAGCCTCCTTCGTAGCATGTGGCATGAGCATGCTTCCAAGGGCCAGGCTTGAACTTTGGCCCAACCTTATCGTGATCCTTCTTGGCTTCAAGAAGCACACGGTCGGCAGCAGAGACATGAACATGGTAAGGGAGAAGAAGACATAGCAGGATTGGCCCCAGGAGGGCTCGCAAAGTCAATGCCTTCATTGTCATGGCGTTGGCACTCGGTGAGGACATTGGCATGGCCATTGCTATCTTTCTCTCTTTCTTTTTATTTTTTAGATATTAATTTTCGGCGTCAGTTGAGTATATATAGTACAAGATGCAGGTTATTTTTGTAGTTTGACCATTTCTTTTTGTAGCGTTTATTTCGGTTAAATTAGTTGGATGATCGTATTTAGGATGTTAATTGGTTGGCGCATGCCATAGCTATATAGGAGGAAATAGACTAGGACCAAAATCTTCGTCTGTTTAGATCCCATTAAATGTGCCTTCCTTTCTATAGCAAATAAGGGTCAACAAACTGATTAAGTAAACTAAAATGGCAAAGTACACTCGAATTTTTATTTTTTTGACAAACGATATAATCTACACTAGGGGGAGGGGATGATTTTAGCTTCACAATGGGTTAGCAATAATGTGGTTCAAATTTATCTCTGACAAGAATCGAACTTAAGATCTCTCACTTACAAGTGAAGAGGAATATCACTAGACCGTAATACTAAATGGCAAGTACGCTTAATTTGGATAACCGATAACAGTCTGTAACCAATACCATTTTGTGCTTAAATTGGTGCATTTAATTCTAGCAAGCAAATTTGGCACTAAACTTCTCCAAGATAAGTCGTAGGCAAGTAGTCTTAAAGACAATCTTTTTATAGATAAATTGAAATTGGAACAAAAACGATAAAAAAAAAAAACCTTATATAGAGCAGACATACCAAACGTGATCATCAGAACAAACCTTAGTCGGAGAAAACCATTTGGGAAATCTCTAGAGCAAGAAAAAGAGGCCACATATCCCAAAAGCAATAACACATGCAACTCTGCATTTCAAATCCATCATAAATACAATACAAACTCATTAGAAATACAATATAATTTCTTAACCATGAAAAGACTATTGTACGCCAAAAAATCAATTAACGTGTGGTCACACATGATTCTATATTATTCCTAGCAACCTAATAACGAGTAATCGACCACAAGGATAAGTGATAACATATGTCGAAGGGACACGTGAACTAATAGATCGTTAGGGGATGTTTGTCATTGATTAGTGTGAGTCCAAATAATTGACTAGGATTTTCTCCTCTCTTTTTTCTATCCTCTTCTCTCACATTCTTTTATTTTATCATTCTTTTGTTATAAAAAATTAATATAAGAATTGATATAGATTAATCATGACCGTTCAAATAGGAGGGGAGGAAAAGAAGAAGAAGAAAAAAATAAAAAAATAAAAAGAAGAGAGAATCTTACTTTTCAAAGAATACCTTAAAAGGTCAAACTCGACATCAAGAAAGTTGAAATAGACACGTACCTTCCAATATCTTAAGTCAATGTAATTAATAAAATATGGATTTGAGACTTCCAATCTAATAAATAGAATACGTTTTACAGGGCGATCCGACCTAATGTAACATATTATTTAATTTGTTATATTAGTTTAAATGACAATTGGTAGCAAATCACGGTTATTCATTATTTTCGAGAGTCGAAAAGACTCACAAAAGTATTTTAACCTTTTCCTAGCCACAATAATTTAAGTTGTTGGCAAATAACTAATCTCTCATAATTCTTGTCTACTGTTATAGAAAAATAATAATTTACATTTTTTATGCATTCAAAATATACACTTGCCACCCCACAACATAGTTAACCGTTAGCATAGGGCTGCTGCATATCTGTCTTCACTGCAGGGCGTTGTCCTGTGTACTATGGGGAGGCAGATTCTCTGCCTTCCCACTTCGTGTGCCATCCTGTTTTATGTGATCACAGTTAAGCATGTTAATATTTTATATTATTTTTTTATAAAAATACTAAGATAAAAATGAATAGTAATATAAAATGTTGACGTAGTTTAACCGTAACCACACAAATAGAAGGGCACAGGAGAGCACAGGAAGTGGGAGGGTAGAGAATTTGCCCCTGTACTATGGTGGGAGTCCTTAGGATTCAAATTATCGGATTAGGATTCTCTCACTCCTCCTTCAATTCCCTCCTCTCACATTTTCTATTTTATTTTTCTTTTTCTATAAAAAAAATTAATATGAGATGTTGACGTGCTTTAACCGTAACCATTCAAATAGAAAGGGAGGGAAGGAGAAGGAAAAAAAAAGAGGAGATAATCCTACTCCATATATAATAACTCTTTAAGCTAATTTTTTATTGTGATTCACTCCATTATATTACCAAAAAAAACAAAAAACCCTTATAAAATTATAAAAAAATTTCCTGGCTCACAAAAATATTGTTGAATGGGCTGATTCCAGTAATTTCAAAAAAGGTAATGGTAGGAATATCAAAATTTCAAATCAAATGATATAGTCATTGATGATTAAATTATTATTAAGTGTTGATTAACATGCTTATTTTCTATTGGTGACACATCATTTGAATAACAAATTTAGTTTAAAATTTTGTTCCACCTAACATTATCCTTCCAAAGAACATATTACTAAGACTATATTAAAATTATCTACATGGAAATCTAGTTTATTTTCTCGAGCACGGAAAATGGTACCTTCAAATTCAAGTATCACCGGTATGCCAAATCATTTCATGTAATGCTTTTCCTTGTTCAAAGGCCACAATTAACCAACTCAAAAAAATTTCAAGAAATTTTTTCCCAGGAACTAATAATTCAAACTTATTTCCAATTTCATGAAAATGGATGTGTAAAACTAGACATTTAGGAGGATTGAGAATTAGGATCACTGAATTTTATAATGAAACTGCATTAGCAAAATTGAGTTGGAAAATTCTTACTCAACCAAATAATTAGTGGGTTAAAACTGTTAATAATTATCTCTTTCAGTTCCAAGTTCCAAGCCTGAAGCTTTTAATTAAGTAAAGGAATGATAAATCAGTTCTTTAAGAACTGTATTGCTATACCCAGAACCCAGAATTTCGAAGCAAATAATTTCCCAGGCTGCACAGACCGACTCCTACGTCCCGTCCTTCCACTTCCAAACAACCAGAGTGACAGAGTCCCAGACGAGCCAGACGGCACAGACCAGTTCTGAGTTCACCCTAATTTTGCTCATTTCTTTTCGTTCAGTATTCTCAATTTTTTTCAACTTAATTTTGTTTTTTACTAATCAGTTTTAATTTCGTATCAGGGTTGCAACAACAGCAAACTGCAACAACCGTGTGTGGTATAAATACTGCAAAAGTAGCAATAATCCAGGCGACTAGAGAGTAGGTAATTTTTATAATATATGTTAAATTTTTAATTGATATGCTTCTTATTGCTAATTTTTTTTTTATAACATATTTGCAATGATAATTTGAATTGTGTTGCAACCCTATTTATTATAAGAATGTAATCGTGTAAATCCTATTATCTGAAATATCCTTAGTAGATTCTATTGGGGTAAAGAATTTATTTTCCTACCACTATAAATAAATACACAATAGGTTTGAATAACTCACACCTCACAATTACACATTTATCTCTTCTCTCTCTGTGCTATTATAACTGTTTAGTAAATTAAGTCTACAACAAATTGAAATTTTTTATTATACGGCATGTAGGTAATTTTTCAAAAAAAATAAAATAACTCTTTGGTAATATGAAAAGAAAAAAAAAGTGCTAAGGATAAAGAAATTGCGGAAGTTTAAAAGGATCTCTTAATAAAAAAAATTCTAGCAAGTTAGTACTAAGGTTTAATGGTAATCATCTTCACTTGTAAGTAAAATGTTTTAAGTTTGATTCTCACCAAAGGTGAATTTGAACCACATTATCATGGTTGTCCCATTGTGAGGCTTGACGTACTCTCCCACCCCTAATGTGGATAATATCGTTTGTTAAAAGAATTATTAATAATTTTTTTTTCCCAAAAAGAATGAGTTGGGGCTTAGTTTTCTGTCCCCTCCATATTTTTTTTTTCTTCAATTAATATAATATGGGCATGACGGCGTGCACCAAAAAATTTAGAATCGGTTTCGACTGGGTTCCACTTCCAGCCCTCCTTAAATATATCTTTTTAATATATTTTCATATATTAAAAAATGTAAATTTTGAGCATTTTCCCTGAGCATAAAAAAATTCATAATCGGTCCTAAATTTATCATTTTCCTTAAACTAAAATAATTTATTTACAAAATATTCGTTATCTTGGTGAAACAGTTGTTGATCGAATATTTAATATTGATGGTTTTTTTTTTTTTTTTTTTTTTTTTGAAAACCTGGAAATTAGCATTGATGGTTCTTGGAATAAGGAAAAAGTGCAACAAGTTGTTCCTCGCAATAATTTTAATTCCATTGGTTTCAATTAATAATTTAACATACATCTCACTGAAAATGACGATAAGTTCATTTGGCAGCCTTTTGTAAATCTAAACTACCTATTAATGTCATTCAGTATTACGGTTGCATGATATTTTTATTCACCTGTAAATAAGAGATCTTATGTTCGAATCTCACGGATGGTGAATTCGTTACCAAATTTGATTACTCATTATGTGGTTTAGCTGAACTCCCCCACCTCTTAGACCATCTTCAATCATTGGGTTAAAATCTAAATTTTGTAGCTTAGAAAATTTATATTTTAACACAGAAATAGTTTTTTTGCTATAACCCTTCTGAATTAAAATTTTAATCCCAGATTATTAAAGTATGAATTTAGTCTTTTTCTTTCTTTTTTTTATCTCTTAAAGTAACTTTTTTTTAAAGAAAAAATTATGTACATTATCTTAATTTAATTTTATAAACATTTTAACCTAAAAATATTTAGATTCCCACAAATATTAAAAAATCACTAACCGACATCATGAAACTCATGAAACACTACGAAAAAAATATGAAACACATAAAAGAATTTCTTTTTAATTACTTTAGCCATTGAATTTAAATTTGGAGCGTTAGATATTTTTTTCTACTGTTGAATTTCATCAAATTAGATCTTAATCATTAGATTCAATAAATTTATAATATAAAATAAAAAATAATATACATATATGGTGGGTCAGCCCCACTAACCCTGGGGTAAATTCATGGTTAAATTTGGCCTAGAAATAAGTTTTGAGTTTTAACTCATATTTGCTCCAAGGGTTGGAGCAAGTTGAGGTAAGTTTAAAACCTAAAATTTGAGTTTTATTTCAAATGTTGGAGTAAGTCTTAGTTTAAAGGGTAAATCACATTTTACCATCTCAAGTTTGAGGTCTATTGTAATTTCATACAACATTATCAAAAAATTTCACTTTCATACCTCGCCTACTATTTTATTTCAATATAATATATTCGTTACATTTTTCATCCATTGGTCGGTTAAAAGCTGACGTGATTGCCACATTTATGCTACATGGCTGCTATATTTATTCCACATGGCTAAACACTTAATAAAATATTAAAATAATTAATTAAAAAAAATAAAAAACAGAACCCCCTTCATCTTCCACTCGACCCTCCATCTCCTCCAATCCCACCTCCCAAGATAATGACGAAAACGACGACGCCCACTTCTTCTTCACCGTATCCGAGGTCTCTCGGGGGAAGCAGAGCTAGAAGCTCGCCTTCAACGACCCCTCCATTTCAGCTTCCCTGAAGCCCCGCTACATTGAGAAGGTTTTGATCCAGAACGTACGGAATCCCAAGTTAGCCTTGCCCTTTTTCAATTTCTTGGGCTTGCACAGAAGCTTCAGCCACT